GCTCTCCCGCGAGGCGCCGCCATGGGCTGCGCGCCCTCCTGCTCCTCCAGCGGCCCTTCCTCCTCCAGGAGCGGCGCGGCCCCGCTGCGGGCCGCCTCCCGGCTCCCGCCACCGCCTACCTCCATCTGGGGAAGGTCACCCTCGCCCGGCATCACGTCCATCTGCAGGTCGTTGCACTCTTCGTACAGCTCGCACAGCTCTGCCATCTCGGACATGGCTGAAACCGCGGGACCACTAGCGAAGCGGCTTCCGGAGAAGAAGGATGCGCGGCCGGGCGGCTGTGCGCGTGCGCGTGCGCGAATGCCGCGCGCTTGCGTCACCAAACGCGCACGCGCGCTCCTGGACGCCGCTTCCGCCCGGCTCGCAGCGATGGCGGGAGCTGCTTCCGGTCCCCCCAGAGACCCGCGCGTGGTTCGCTGGGTTACTTGCGGGAGTCGGATTTATTGTCCAGAGGCTGCAGGCAGGGTCGTCACTCGGGGCCCACGCCGCCCACCCCCTCGTGGCGTGCCCGGCTGTGCCTGGAGCGCGGCGCGCGGGGAGCCGCTGCCCAGGCGCCGCCCCCTCGAGTCCCGCCTCCTTCCCGGCCGGGTCGCCGCCCCTTCAGGTGTGATGTCACCTGTCCCCGGGCGCTTCTCCAGACCATGTCGTCCCCACAGATAAACCCTGAGAAACGATCTGTTCTGCTCTTGTGGTTATTTAAAAAATTAGTTTCACAGACAAATATATTTTTAAAAATATAAAGAAATATTTAGTCCTATTTTCCCGTTAGCTAATTTTCCACCGTATTAATTTGGTGCCTATTCGTCAGATCTCCCCGTGGATTTACAAGGAACTTTTGTGTACTGGTGAAGAAAGGACTATTGGGGTGTTTTCCTGTTCCTCCCGCTCCCCTCTTCCTCCGTGCTTAGACCTCGGAGCCATCTCCCCAGCCCCTTTTGGTTTTTCATTTGTGTAAATATACTGTAACTGACCTAACCAAGGACCGTTTATTATTATTATCATCATCATTACAAATCATAAATAAATGAACATTCACATGTAACAGTGTTTTAGGAGCAGAAATGCAGGATCGTCGGTTTTGCATACTTTGGTTTAATACACACTGTCAAATTGCTCTCCAAAGTTAGGGGGCAAGTTTTAGCTGTAGTAGGCAGGGACTGAGAACACGCATGCGCTCTCTTCATGGGATTTCGTTGGACGCTGACAACTTTATCACTTTAATGGGATCTTTCATAGCATTAGTTTCTTGGAAGGTTGATTGTCTTTCAGTATGTGTAACGTTAGTATTTCCTCTGTGAATTAACTGGTTTTATGTTGGGTGTTTTTGTTACTGAAACTGATAAATTCGTTGTTTTACAAACGTAGTCTCCCTACTTGTTGTTTGTCTTAAGTGTTATCATAGACAAGTTTTATTTATTTATTTATTTATTTAGTGGTACTGGGGATCAAACTCAGGACCTTGCGCATTTCCCCGGCTTAAATTTATTATTATTTTTTTATGTACTCAGATTTATTTCTTTCTGTCTTTTTCTATTAAGATGGATTTTTCTACTTCAGTTGTATGTCTTGATATCTGATAAGGAAAACCTTATCTTTGTTCTTTATAAATTACCATAGCTCTTTTTACACTTACTTTTTTTTTTTTTGGTGAAGCCAGGGTTTGAACTCAGCCCCTTGTGCTGGCCAGGGAAGCACTTGTTCCACTGAGCCATCTCCCCAGCCCTTCCACTTACATTTTAACATGAACTTTACAAGCAGCTTAATGTATCTTTGTATGTTTTATATCTGATAAGGAAAATTTTGCCTACTTGCTCTTTTGAAAATTTCTATGGAAGGTTTTGCACATTTATTTTTTCCATGTTAATTGTAAAAGCAGAGTGAAAAATTCTGTAAGTGATACTTGTAACATTTTTATTAGAAGTGCATGGAGTTTACAGATTAAAGGGAGAGAGCGGACACCTTTACAGTATTACTTCTCATCCTTAGGCTGATCCATATCTTTCCACTTACAGGTCTTATTTATACCGTTCAATGAAGTTTTCTAAAAAGGTTTGCATGATTCTGAGTTTCATACTTAGGTATACTCTTATCAGATGTTCCCGGTAAAGGCTCTCATTGGCTATTGTTGACGTATGAGAATGGCAGTGACCTTTGTATGTTGATTTTGTTTTACTGAAATGCACCGATAGAAAATGCACATATCTGTGGGTAGCTTCATTATCACAAAGTGAACCTATTTGGGTCCTCTACCCTCATCAAAAAATGCCATTTGCAGCAACCCAGAAATCCTCCGGCTTCCTCCTCCTGTGCCCCAGAAGTTAACCACTATCCTGATGTCAAGCACAGTGAAATAATTGTTGCCTGATTTTGAATGTGAACAAGTAAAACTATGCAGAACAAACATGCTCATTGTCTTTGGCTTTTTTTTGCTCAACAAAACATGATGTTGCCGTGTAGTTGCCCACTGCTGGAATGCCATAGTGATCATAATTGGGATTGTTTCTTGCTTAGGGCTATAATAACCAGGGTAATCACTGTCTGTCTTGTCTTTCTGTTGGGTGTGCATCTAGGAACAGAACTGCTCCACCATCTTCTATAGGCAGTGTCATAGATTCTGCCACAAAATTCCGAAAACAAGACCATCAACATGTGCATGGTTGTTAATTACCCCTTATTAAATGAGCACAAAAATAAGTTCTGCAAATTGGTGGCTTCCAAACATGCAAACTAGAATTTTAAGTAAAACAGACCGTCTTCTTGGCTGAATAACTCAGTTCACTCTTCTAGCATTACTTCATATTAGAAATCTAAATGATAGTGCCCTGGAGTATTCGGTGACAAATTCCTTAAAAACACACATAGAAAAATTAATGTATAAATGGGGGGAAATCTATTGGTTAAAGTCATGGAACAAATTGTTAGCATAGGTTGGCTCTTCTGCACCCAAGGAGATGGTGCTTTCTTATTGGTTAGACCTAGGCCCACAGGTGGGAGCGGCAGTGAGTTGAGCCTGCAAACCCTCCTGAACCTGAAGGCTTAATGAGATCATTAGGGGCGGGATGCAGCTCAGTGCAGAGTGCGTGCTGAGCATGTGAAAGGCTCCTAGCAAAAGCAAAACCAAGAGGTCTTATTATAGGAAGTGGGTGGGGTGTTCACAAAGAGATGTTAAGCAGACAAAGAGAAAACAAATGTAGGTCGATTACTTTTAGACTGTATATAATAGTAATAGTAACTTATGGCATACATGTTTAATTTGTTTTATATTTTTCAGATTATTGCAAATCATCACATGCAATCTATTTCATTTGCTTCTGGAGGGGATCCTGTAAGTATGCATCCATAAGAGTTCTTTTTGTATGAGTTAAAAAACCAAATTTAGATATTTTGGATTAGTAGATGAGTTGATAGTACTGCGCTAAACTTCTTACCGATAACAAATATCCCAGGCACGAGTTACAAGCACATCTGTATGCACGGGGTGCTGGTGCTCGGAATTCTCAGCACAGAGTTCCAGGCAGACCCCACTAATCAGCTGGACTTGGGATCTAAGGGGAAGCCAACTTGCTGTCAGCCATGCCAACCAAGGCAACTCAGCTTAATCTAGAATGAGCCTCAGAGAGAGAACCTGTGGTTTCTGTCTCCCAAGAAAAGCATGTGGTACTCACTGGCACCCATTGTGGAGGACTCTGGCTCACACTCCACAGACTGGAGTTGGCCTTGGCCCCATACTGCAGTGTTTCAGGGACAGGGGGGTTTCTCTCCTTCAGAAATGAGCCTCATATGCAGTGTAATAGCTGATGTTTTTCTTCCCACTATGTTCAATTTCTCACTTATTATTAGCAAGTAAAATTTAGAGTCATAAATGATGAGAAATATAACGGAGAAGCCTAAAATGTGTGAAGGGTAGAAAAAAAGCTTAAATCTGGTGCCTGACATTACTAGAAAGTTTTTTTTTTTTTTAAATATATTTGGTACAGAGTCTGCAGGGTCTACAGGGCCTCACTATGTAGATCAGACTCATAGTGATCCTCCCAAGCGTTGGGATTACAGGCACACACCACCACCCCTACTCTCAATTGCCATCTCAGCGAGTCCAGGGAGCAGGGCTGGCACGGCACGCCAGGGACTGAACCCTGGCCACTGTGCTCTGCCTAAGCAGGTGCTTTAATCTACTGAGCTATCTGGCTGGCCCTACTAGAAAGTTTTAATTCATGAACAATGACAGCACCCCAGAAGGAAATAAAGTTCTGAAGTTACTCTGGGCGACCATCGCTTCCATACTCTCTTCTGAAAAATGTGAACAAATTCACTCATTTGCCTGTTGGTAAAACTTGCTGGTGTGCAAAGTGTATAGCTAAGAGTTTGTAAAATAGACCATGTCGAAGACACTTCAGAAATGGCTAGTCTTCAGTTTGGCTACCAGTGACTCAGAGTATTGAAGCATGTCAGCTGAGGACAGCCTGCTTCAGAGCTTCTTTCTGAACTATGAAAAAAAGCCTTTAGGAAGTTTCAAATCATTGCTCTTGTTTGTTCGTTTTTATAGAACACTGTGTTTTCCCTTTAGGCTTCACAGCTTCCCGCCTTTCTGCCTTGGGTATAGTTATTTTCAAATGACTATGTTAGTTCCTTGATACTGTAAACCAAATTGTTGAGAGCTCTCCTTTTACCCCAAAGGAGTCTACGGATGGCTGGATGTGGCCCGGGGCTGATCCATGCCGCCTTCCCATCTGGCCTCGGCTGTGACCCCAAGGGCTGGGGATCAGGGAGGGACCAGTGGGCCCAAGCTGAAAATCACCAACATTTCTCTGCTCTTCCTAGGCCATGATAGCTTGATTCTCTAGGAAGGAACTCAAGATACGCTTCAGAGAGATATAAAGTGATGCTTTCTAAGTGTACTTTGAAAACCAATTGTTCGCGTTTGCGTGAAGTCTCCAGGTTGCTGGCGTTTTAGGATCGGGACGCAAACACCTACTCTGACTACACTCTGCATGGCGTACTGTGCTGCTTTTCACACTGTCTTCACGCACCTTTAGTTCTCCCTGCAGTTCACCCAAACACTTTCCCTACAGACACAAACCTAAGAATGATTTGTATCTGCTGCCTTCAGTGGGGCCTCTGCATTCTCTCCATCTGGACAGAAAGCCTATTGATTCATATTAAAATAGTAGTCTGGGTCCACCCCCAGCCTTGGCATCACACACACGCACATGCACACACACACACACGCACATGCACACACACACTGTGACGTTTTGCCCTCCTGTGGGGAAGCGGTTTGGCATTCTCCAGGCGCTGGAGTCAGGTTGACATGACTTAGGGCGCCTTTCTGATTTCTGGTGTCCTCATCTGTGGGAGGGTCCCCATGACCTGACAGGATTGCAAGAATTAGTGAGGCCATGTGTGTAAAGTACTAGTGCAAGTCCTGGCACATGGTCGCAAAGGTAGCTCCTAGCAACAGGTGTCCGTGTTTACGTAGGACACGCTGAGGCCATTCAGAGCCTCACAGCTAACTGGACTGGGGCCGGGGCCCGGTGAGTTGTGAGGCCTGGTGGCCCAGCATCTCGCCTTCTTTCTGCCAGATTTCTCCCCGTTTCGTAAGTGCCCAGCACTGTCCCTTACTTGTGGCATTTGCTCATCTGCACCTTTAGTCTCTTCTCGAAAGCAGCTCATTTCCCTTCTCTCAGCCTTGAAGACAGCCTGGGGATGCTTGTGTAACACACTTTATTTCAAAAACTTAAAATTTGAGTTTTGGAGAAAAAAATCAAATATTAAGTACATTTTAAAATCTTTTCACCTGTTATTTCTGCTTTCCCTCTAAACATTCTAAATAGTCCCAGCCACAGAATTTTAAAACTGTTAAGATGGTGGAGACTGCTTTAAGGATGAGCACAGTGAGGTCCAAAGAGGGCTCAAGGCCTCCTTCGGGCGAGACCTGGGCCCAGCCCGGTGACAGCCTTCAGGCCACGTTCCCCTTCCCTAGCCCAGAAGTCAGCAGCAGTGGCGGCCTCCCTTTGGGGTTCCTAGAAGCAAAGACCATAAATGTCTCCTCATTTATTAGAATATTCCCAAGTTCCTTTTAGGCATGAAATATTACTCAGATGTGTGCCATTTTTAAAAATTCCTCAAGCCAAGAGCTGCTGGGCGCCCTCCTGTGACTCAGCAGAGGCTGTTAGGCAGAGGCCCTGGGGCGCCACCGCAGGCCCGGCTGTACTCTCGGGGCACTTGCCCCGCCCTATGGAGAGTCCCCTTCAGTCTGCAAGTAGAGCTGTTTTCCTTTTTGATAATTGAGGTAACAAAAAGCATCTTGAATTATTAAAGTCTTATCAGTCATCGGCTTACTGTTTTCAATAAAAGCTGGAATTACCAAGTAGGTTCTGTTTGTTTTAATGAAACATTGTTTGAGTTATTTATGAGTCCTCTTTTTTCATTTATTTTTATTTTTATTGTTTTTTTTT